AAAAAAAAAAAAAAAAAAAGAAAAGAAATAATCCAGTTTTACACAGCATTTTTAAGGGGGTTCATTCCTGCTTCCTTTAATATGTTCTAGTATGTGCAAAATATTTTCACTTCATGCCATCCAAAACTGATCCTAGTCATAGAACTGGGAAGAGCCATTCCCATTCTACATGGGCGGAGTTGGAGCAGAGAGCCATAAGGAGCAGAGGGTGCAGCAGGGAGAGGAACTTCGCTCTCTTGGGCCAATGCTTTTGGAAAGGGCATTGCCATCTCAATGGTTCTCAACCACAGTACACCAGTGTACTCTCCTGTCAGCCACATGATGGGGTGGCTGTCTGTAGTTGGCAGACATGTTCTAGATGCTGCAGCTATGCCCCCAACCCCAACATGGCATCTGTACACATATTTTATATGCAGACACAGATACGCTGCCCACATCACTGATAACTAAGTATTGGTGGCGAAACCCCATGGAATTCCAGCCGGAGTGAGTTTAATGATGGGCTATAAATGAATGCTTTGGTAGAGAATGTCTTGGTTATCTCCATGGATTTTACCTATGTCAAGACTGAGATGTTGGCCAGGCGTGGTGGCTCACGCCTGTGATCCCAGTACTTTGGGAGGCCAAGGCGGGCAGATCACTTGAGGTCAGGAGTTCGAGACCAGCCTGGCCAACATGGCAAAACCCATCTCTACTACAAACACAAAAATTAGCTAGGTGTGGTGGTGGGTGCCTGTAATTCCAGCTACTCGAGGTGAGGCAGCAGAATCACTTAAACCTGGGAGGCAGAGGTTACAGCAAGCCGAGATCGTGCTGCTGCACTGTAGCCTGGGTGACAGAGACTCTGCCTCAAGAAAAAAAAAAAAGGGAAAGAGAGAGAGAGAGACTGAGATGTTTCCAGAAACTTTTTTCTGTTTTGTTTTGCTGTCACTTCTACAGTAAACGATTGTTTTTCTGGCGCGAACTTTAGTACAAAGATCAGAACCTGATAGGCCGATGCCCATGTTGCAGCTGCAAAAGCTGAACACTGCCTGACTTACTGATCACTTGCTTTCATCTTTTCTGTATCTTTATCCTTGAAACATCTTGAAATTAGAAAAATAGGATTATTGGTGAAAAGATGTATGCAGGGATGTATAACAAGGGACAGAGGAAATTGTACAAATTTGTTAATTTATTACAAAATGTTCACTCACAGAAAAACACAAGAAAACTTTTATACTTTTATATTTGGGAAAGGAACTGGTATCTCAGATACAAAATAATTTACACATAAGCCATACAATTTTATTTTATATAGAAATAGGTCATTATTACAACAGCTGTACAATTCACTACGCTTCATCTTATAATTACATAAAATCTTTTCTTTAGAAACATCTCAACATAACAAAACATACAAAAAAAGCAAAGTGCATTTTGAAAAGGAAAATCCAATTCTCAGTATTCTCATGAAGATATGTAGAAAGATGCAGCATTCTCACTCAAAGGGCCAGCACATGGCGGGATCTCTCCGGGGACTGCAGTCCCCCAGGCCTGTCTGGCTTGTGAAACCTCTCCCCTCACAGGCTTGAAGCTCTCAGCAGAACTCTGGAATGTCGGCTGGCATGATTGTGCTTTGCTTTGAGTCCACCTTTGTAGTTGCAATCAATGCAGTAAACAGGAAATAGTCCAGTGTTTTATTTAGGGGCTAAAAAATCACCGCCAGCATGGCATGGGGTGAAGAGCCTCACCCCGTTAGGGTTTAGGCCAGAAAGTGTCAATCTGCAGCTTGGTTAATAACAACCAGCTTCTCTGATTTGGTGGGCTGTTGTTGTTACCGTGGTCTCTCAGTGAAGCCATGAGACCTTATTATTTTTTAAAAAAACAGAAAGTGCCTAAGTTATTTCCTCTGTGCAGCTGTGCAAATTAAAACAAAAACAACCATTTAAAAATAATGAAAAATAATCTCTTTATTCTCTCTCTCCAACAGATCTCTGACCCAGTCCTCCAATGCAAAGGGATGACGATCAAGAGAGCGAAGGCCAGCTAGCGCAGATGGCCGGGCTGCAGTTGGCGAGAGTGGCCAGTACACTCTCGGGGGACGCGGCGAGATGCGCCATCTCTGAAGGTAAACCGAGCAATGACGCCTACACGGGGCACCTGGTTCCTGTCCAGTATGGCTATAGAGTGTGCCCAAGAACCTCGGAGGCAAGGGAAACACGGTCCGTATTCCTGATCATTTCCACTGCACCAGGTGCTGCACTCCAGGGATGGTTACCATCCAGGAGTTCTGAAACGTATGCAGTGTGCACAAAAGCCAAGGGTTTAGCTCAGACTCCTCTCCCCGTCTCCTGTGGCCACCCCCCTCATCCATTGGTTAAAGCTGATTGTGTCCCGACTTTGGTGCCAGGGCACTATCGGGGCGGCTGCTGGAGCCCTGACGACTCAGACAGACTGCTGACCCTTCGGGGAGGACGCAGGGGCTGGGGCTGTGCTGGGGGCGGTGCGGGGTAGCCCAGGGTCCCTGGCTGTTGTGAGTAGGTGGAGAGAAGTAGCGAGTCCTGCTGCTCACTGTGCAAGGAGGTTGGTGCCTGTACCTAGAAAAAAAAAGAACAAAGGGCTTCAGAGGTGGTTCTGATGTGTCCGCCCTCAACTGTCTCACAGGGCAGCGCGGGGCGTGCTGCAGATTCAGTTAGACTGCAGGGCTGTCTTTCTTGGGGAGTCATGTGGGGAGAGGTGGCTCTGGCAAGACCTGGGGGTGTGATGGGGATGGGGAAGAAAGGAACCTTAGGATGAATTCTGAAGCTAAGTTCTCTGCCAGTAGTAGGGGGCTCTTTCTGGCCCAATTGGCCTTGCGCTGTGCCTGTGGGGAATGGTTTCTTTAACACGTGCACATGATCTACATGTAGCCAGCATGTTTTTGGATGATGGAACCTGAGGCCACATCAAACACACATACAGTTTGCAGACTTTTCACTGCTGGTCCCTGATCCCCTAGCTGCCTCCAGATACGGCCATTCGCCAGCGCCTACTAGGAGCATTGTGATTGGAAGTTTAGAAGCTTCAGCGGCCAAAGCCTGACTTTGGAAACTTCAATCTCATCACCCACTATCCCCTTCCTTGAAATCTCCCCCTGCAAGTAAGCCAGCACCTCCCTGCTCTCCAAGCTGCCCAGGCACAGCCGCCCTGCACTTGTGCTCAGGCTGTCTGGCTGGAACACCGTCCTCTTATCTTCACCCTCACCCACACTTCGGGCATCTCCTGGACATCAGACTTTGCGGTGGGTGCCTTCTGAGCCCTCCCTCTTCTCAAGTCCCTTCCCCACGAAGGCTTCCCCACCACAGCACTCCCACTCTTCCCAAATCCGAGACTATGTTCTGTGCTAACCTACCTCTCTGCACCCCACCCCAAGGCCCCTAAGGGCAGTGAGAGGGCTGAAAGGCTCTCGGTATTCATAGCCTGTATCTTGTATGCAACAGGTGTGTGCAAACTTGTCTGTTGCTCATTTCCCATCCAAAATCACTTCTGGGTCTCGAGAACTGACAAGATCTGCAAAGCCAAAGTCTGATGTGACTCCCACTATGCATGGGGTCAGGGAGATTTGAAAATTATAGCACAGATGGCTTAGCAGCACTGGAATTAAAGTGCACTCTAGAACTTCAAGGGTGGCTATCTTCATCGCAATCCACAGTCCTCAAGAGGCCTTAGCCACTGCTCATTCTCCATGGCTCTGTAGGTGCAGTTGGGGCTGCAGCCAGGGACAAAGCCCCCCAGGACAGGGAAAGGCTGGGGTGAGGAGGGGCACCCTGCACATGGGCGAGGGAAGGCCAGGCTCTTCTGGAGCTTGGCAGATGCAGATGTGTGGCCCCCACATGAACCTGCAACCAGTGGCTCTGACCCTCCCTGCTTCTGGCATACTTGGCACTTGCTTGAAGTAATTTTTGCCTTCTAAGTAGCGACCACATGTAAATGAGCTCCAGATTTTCCTGGCAAGCCCAATTTCACACAACATCACTGTACTTATTAAGGCAGGTTAATGGATCTGTAATTAAATGTGATTTAGTTTTATATTTACATAGGACTTTCTCTATAAACACACTGAAAAGTCCAACATAGTCATCAATGTTTTTTGGCTTTTGCTCTAACAACTATGAAAACGTCAAGACACAAATCCTTGAGTAAAAACTACTTTTTAAAAAAGGAACATTTCAGGCCAGGTGCGGTGGCTCATGCCTGTAATCCCAGCACTTTGGGAGGCCAAGGTGGGTGGATCATGAGGTCACGAGATCGAGACCATCCTGGCCAACATGGTGAAACCCCATCTCTACTAAAAATATAAAAATTAGCTGGGCATGTTGGCACATGCCTGTGGTCCCAGCTACTCAGGAGGCTGAGGTGGAAGAATTGCTTGAACCAAGGAGACAGAGGTTGCAGTGAGCAGAGATTGTGCTAATGCACTCCAGCCTGGTGACAGCAAGATTCTGTCTAAAAAAAAAAGGAATATTTCAGCACATAACCAAACAAGGCATAATAGCCAACTCGTAATTTCATGTACTACACAGACACAGACTTCATAAACTTTAAGCATGAAAAACAATCAAATAAGAACCTTTCTGGGGCTTGCTTCTATACCATGGATAGAACAACTTTGAAATCAAGGGAATAAAATATCTTTGAGACTTGAGGTACAGAGCATGGCCCAGCTCTCTGGCCTGCACAGGGGCCCCCTGGGCTGTGGCACCCACCTGCAGGTAGTGCTGTGGTGGCTGCTGCCGGGCCTGTGCGGGCTGCAGGGGCGATGGCTGGGAGGTGGGGAAGCTGGGGTGGAGCACCGCCTGCCCCATCAGCAGGACGGGCATTGGGGCACTGCTGCTGTTGGTGGGGTGTGCGTCTGGATTTTGAAACACGGTCTGGCTCTGTGCATACCTGTTTCACATGGGAAGGAGAAAACAAGTCCTTTAAGAAGGCAGTATTGATATGACACCAAAATCACAAGCAACAAAAGAAAAACTAAGTTGAACTTCGTAAGAAACTTTTGTGAATCAAAAGACACTATCAATAGAGGGAAAGGCATCCCATGGAGTGGGAGAAGATATTTGCACATCACATGTCGAATAAGAGACTGATACCCAGAATATATAAAGAATGCCTACAACCCCACAGCAAGAAACCCAAACAACCCAATCAAAAAACGGGCATGGGGCTGACATTTCTCCAAAGAGAAGCTAGAAAAGGCCAACATGCACATGAAAATGTGCTCAGCATCACTAGCCATTAGGGCAAAGCCGATCAAAACCAAAATGAGATGTCCCTTCATACTCATGACAATGGTGACTATCGAAAAAACCAGGAAGTAACAGGTGTTGGTGAGAATGCGGAGACACTGTAACTTTAGTGCCCTGTTGGTGAGAGTTATTAAATGGTGCAGCCACTGTGTTAAATGTTGATATGGTTTGGCTCTGTTTCCCCACCCAAATCTCATGTTGAATTATAATCCCTCATGTTGGAGGCGTGGCCTGGTGGGAGGTGATTGATCATGGCTGGGGACGTCCCCCTTGCTGTTGTTGTGACAGAGTTCTCCCGAGATCTGTTCGTTTAAAAGTACGTAGCCCCTCCTCTCTTGTTCTCTCTCTGCTCCTGGCCATGTGAAGATGTGCTTGCTTCCTCTTCACCTTCTGCCATGATTGTAAGTTTTCTGAGGCTTCCCAGAAGCAGAGGCCTGTACGGACTGCAGAAGGGTGAGCCAATTAAACCTTTTTTCTTTATAAATTACCCAGTCTTAGGCACATCCTATAGCAGTGTGAGAATGGACTAATACAAATTGTATGGTAATTCTTCAAAAAATTAAACACACAATTACTATTCTACCATATGATCCAACAATTCCACTTTTGGGTATATACTCAAAAGAAGTAAAAGGAGGAAATTGAAAAAGATAATTATACCCATGGATGTGTACACTTATCTTTTGATTATTGTGAGTAAACTATTATATAATAAACAATTATTGTAAACCATTATTCACAATAACCAAAAGGTAGAAACAATCTAAGTGTCCACTGAGAGATGAATAGTTTAAAAAAATGGTTTGTCCATATAGTGGAATATGATTCAACCCTGAAAGGGAAGGAAATTCTCATGCATGCTACAATATAAATGAACCTTGAAGACATGTAAAGTGAAATAAGCCAATCACACGAACACAAATGTTATATGATTTCTCTTATATGAGGGCTCTAGAGTTGTAAAATTCTTAGGGACAGAAGGTGGCTTTCAGGGGCTGGGGGAAGGGAGTGGGGAGTGGGTGTCTAATGGATACCGGATTTCAGTTTGAAAAGGTGAAAAAGTTCTGGAGCTGGATGGTGGTGATAGTTGCACAACTGTGTGAATGTATTTAATGCCATGGAACTACACACTTAAAATGGTTTAAATAGTATAGTTATGTATATTTTACCACAATAAAACATTCTTAGGCCTGGCACAGTGGCTCATGCCTGTAATCCCAGCACTTTGGGAGGCCAAAGGCGGATGGATCACTTGAGGTCAAGAGTTTGAGACCAGCTTGGCCAACATGGTGAAACCCCATCTCTACTAAAAATACAAAAATTAGCCAGGTGTGGTGGCACATGCCTGTAATCCAGCTTCTTGGGAGGCTGAGGCAGGAGAATTCCTTGAATGCGGGAGGCGGAGGTTGCAGTAAGCTGATCGCACCACTGCACTTTAGCCTGGGTGACAGAGCAAGACTTCATCTCAAAGAAAACGAAACAAAACATTTTTAAAAAAAGAAAGAGATGATGATGATAATGGTGCATTAACCAGGAGCAGAGAAAGGCCACTGAAGAACAGTCTGGGGTTATGGACAGGAGCAAATGTGTAAAGACACTGGAGAGAAGTCTGCTTTGTGTGATCTTTTTAGAGATGTTATTTCCCTGCATGGGTCATCCGTGACAGGCATTGGGGTTCCAGACTTCCCCTGAGGAGGCATCTCTGTGTGAGGGAGGCAGATGCTGACACACCCGGGAGAGTGGAGCTGTTAGGTCGTGTCTGGAAGAGACAGTCAGGGAGATGGGGAAGGTATAAATGATCAGTTTAACCAAAAAATGGCAGTTAGAGTTCCCAGAGTTCCCAGATGAAAGAATTTCCATACTTCCCTAGTTCATGGCATTTTAGGCATCTCTGGAAAGTGATGTAACAAGAATTTTTGTTTCCATTTTTAATTTATCTTTTTTTGAGAGAGTTGTACTCTGTTGCTCAGGCTGGAGTGTAGTGGCACAATCTCAGCTCACTGAAACGTCCACCTCCCTGGTTCAAGTGATTCTCCTGCCTCAGCCTCCCGAGTAGCTGGGATCACAGGCACCCACGACCATGCCCAGCTAATTTTTGTATTTTTAGAAGAGATGGGGTTTCGCCACCTTGGCCAGGCTGGTCTCGAACTCCTGACCTCAGGTGATCTGCCCGCCTTGGCCTCCCAAAGTGTGATTACAGGCGTGAACCACCTCGCCCAGCCTGTTTCCACTTATTTGGATCATTTAGAAAAAACAGGAATAATCCGAAAGCAAAACCAGCCCAGTTCCCGCCCCCCCACCTAACTGATAGACATGAATGGAACTTTGCAGATGGCTCTCTACAACGTGCAGCTCCCTCTTTACCCTCCTGTGACCAAAGGGAGGGCCAGAAAGTCTCGGGGCAGAGGCTGCCTAGAAAGTTATCCTGAGGCATGGGAGACCCCAGACAGGGCCAACAAGGTGCACTTTGAAGATTCACGGAGCCAAAGGGGCCTGTGGCCTGGAGTTAGCTGGCTTCCAGCCCCACCATGTGTGCTGTGTAGCCTTCGAGAATGTAAGCTTTAGAGCTACATTTAAAAGCTCAGCCTCTTCACTAGTTAAAAAAAAAAAAAAAAAAAAAGAGGAGCATGTGCCAGCACCCTTGAGTTTTTATTGGGATAAAATGAAATAATGAACATGCAAGCCCTGCCCTCAGAAAGGCTGTAACCATCTACCATTACTCTCTTTTCTGAGTAAAAACTACTTTTTAAAAAAGGAACCTTTTCAGCACATAACCACACAAGGCATAATAGCCGACTTGTAATTTCATGTACTCCATAGACACAGACTTCATAAACTTATGAAAAACAGTCAAATAAGAATCTTTCTGGGGCTTACTTCTATACCAGGGATAGAACTGAAGGAGGGCACAGAAGGAAGGCTTCCAGGGACAGGGCCTGGGGGTGCCTGCGAGGCCTCTACATGAGGACATCCCAGGGCTGATCGGCTAGCAGTGTCCTGGTGAGCTGTGGACTCCAGTAAACCAGTGTTAAGGTGAAGGAGATGTCTGTGTGATAGCTCTATTTCTGCCTCATTCTGAAGCGCTAGAAACTGTTTTCCAGCAGCTTTTAAACTATCCCCCTGTGTCTCCAGTAACCATTGTCTCTAGTAATTAGGCAGCTGAGCAAAGCTGCGTGGGGTGCTGCGGGTGCCAGTGGAGAGGAGGTTGGGGAAGGGAGGGAGCGGGCTGCTGGTCTGGGAGGGAAGGGCCCAAGCACAGTGCCAGAGGCACAGAGCACCAAGTGTGCCTATGGAATGTCAGCTGGAGCCTGGGGGAGGGTCCTTGAGAAGGGGATGGTGCTATACCTTCCAGGGATGTCTCCAGGGGTGAGGGCTTTAGACCTGTAAAGAAGTTGGAAGATGATGGCAAATATGGGGTGTGAACCATTTCATTCAGTGCTGCTCTAAGCATGGGTGCTGACTCAAAGTTTTTTCTGCTGAAATGGGACACGATAGAAGAAAAGCTAAGGGGCAGTGTCCCCCTCACAGCTGTGGGCACACTCAGACCCTGGCTTTATTGCAAGGCTCATGTGAGTGCTGCTGGCCCAGGCAGGTGAGGCCTGGCCAGCCTGGAACCAGTCCGCCAGTGCTTGCCTCCTGCCTCCCGCCAGGATCCACGACGTACTTGACTTGCCGTCCCGTCCTGCTGACCTCCGAGGGCTGCCTTGCGTCACAGGACCCGGGCATCATGGGCTGGATGGGCTGGCTCAGCAACAGCCTTCAAGCAGAGGTGGGGACATAGGAAACTGATCAGCACCTGAACTGCAGACCCACTGGTGGTGGCAGTACTTGCTCAGCCTAGCTGGACCCTTCATGGTTGACCCTGATCCCCACTAGCCCCACTCTGTTCTCAGAGGATGATGGATACAGCGGGTAACCTCCCCTGGACCTCAGGACCCCAAGCCCTTTCTTCTGCTTCCTTAGCTGAGATCAGCTGTGGGCACTTTAGAATCTGTCTGAACTCTGCCTCCGTCTAAAGCAAAGTAGAACTGAAATGAATGGGGTAAAATGACGCCTGGGTTATCCTTCAAACAAGGGCAGTCTTGTACCTGAGCTGCCGGTCATGGCTGAAGTCTGGGCTGGGCTGGCATTGGCTGGCATCCTGGGAGGTGGAAGCAGGTGTGGTTAGATTCAGACTTGTTGGGAGCACTGCTGTGGTGCTGCTGAACGGGGACACCAGGCTGCTTCCAGAACGGCTGCTGCTCTGCATCAGCTGCGAGCTTCTCATTGGCTTTGGACCCTAGAGCATCATTTCAATGAGAAAGGTAAGACTTGGACTCAACCTCCAGGCCATCTCTCCAGGAAATCTCCCCAGTGCCTCCTCCTTCTACCCACCCTTGCCTTTCCTCTAAATCAGAACCTCCCAGCTATTGAATTACTTTGATCTCCTGACTGTCTTCCCCATTGGATTGTATTTAAATCCCCTGGGACTAGGACAATGCCCAACTTTAGGCAGGCAAGTAGCAAATGTGCCTCCAACTGAACTACTTTCTGCTTCAAATTCTACTACAGACACGTGGCCCTCCTGGTTGTTTCTCTGACTCACCAGGCCTACTCCTGCCCTGGGGGCCTTTGCACGAGCTGACTGCTCTGTGGAATGCTCTTCTTCTGAGATTGACGTGGCTCATTCTCTCAGTCCCTCAGGTCTTGACTCAAATATTATCTTATTCACGAGGCCTTATCTGGCTACCTATTTACACCTCCAGCACACTCCTGGCCCTCACCAGCATTCCTATGCCATTGGGCATATCATTTTCATGTTTGTCTGTCCTCACTTGGAACAGAGATTCTTTTTTCTTTTCTGTTTTGTTCACTGCTGTCCCTCAGAACTCAGAATTGAGTGCCTGGCACACACTGAGTTGAGTGAAATAATAAATGAATGGGGAGTGGGCTTGCACCTGCTTTGAGTTTTTCTATTTCACTGATTGTCCATTCATCCAATAACATAGTGCTCTCATTCTTAAAGATTTTACACAATTTTCCAATATCAGATAGTATAAATCTTTCCTCAGTTTTCTCTTTTCCAAAATTTTGTTGGCTCTTCTCACCTGTTTATTTTTCTGCTGACCTTTTGAATCAAAAGGCTGCATTTTCAAGCAAAACTCTTACATTTGAAGACAGATGGCCTAAATACTTCCATGTGTGCTTATTGCAGCTTATCTAAGTTCCCAGATTCGCTACTGGACTACAAACTCCTCGAGGCCTAGGACAACTCTTGTTCATCATTGTTCCCCTGGGTATTGGTGAATTCAGGAGCTCAGCTGACGTTACCGAAGCCACAAGGGCATGGGAATGCAGGGCTGGAGGAAAGGCTGCCTTCCTATCCGTCATCCTCCAGGAGCCCTGCTCCAGACTTCTGAATTTCATTCAGTTTGAGTGCCATTTATCTGCTGGCAATTTTGTCCGATTGCAAGGTCATTGGTGGCTTGGAATAGGTGGAAATGGCTGTGAGGGTTTGGCAAGGAGTCTGGGGGGCCTGGAGGAGCAAGGGGTGCCTGGGGCAAGGGACAGTGAACAGCAGTGGCTGCCCACATGGGTAATGGTTAAAACCATAGTAAATGGTGGGGACTGTGGACATGAATGCTGGGACATTCAGCTACCAGTGGGTCTCTGGGATGGCCATATCTGCCTCCAACCCTAAGTCAGCATCAAAGGTGAACATTTTAGCTGCGCGATATCTTATAAGCACAGGAATAAGGGACTAAGGTGGATGTTTATAAAACACAGAAGGAAGCCAATACAACTTGGGGCTTCAAAGTGACTTTAACAGAAGAAGGAAAAAAAAGCTCACCCAAAAACCTACCCCCCAGTCTATAACCAACAGGGCAGTGGGCCTCAGTTCATGCAGGCTGCAGGAATCAAGTACGTCCCAAACTGCAAAAGGGTGTGTGCTCTAGAGGCAAGGACGGAAGCTCATGAAGGGCACATTTACCTGGGTTGATATCACGCTTGATTCTCTGAGCAGGTGCTGGCTTGAGACCTGGGCAGAGGAGATCTGCCCTGGAAGTTGGGGGCCTGCCCCGAGCTGGGGCTGAGTCACTGCCGCCGACCTTTGCTGTAGCTGCTGCTGAGCCTCCGGTCGCTGGGTGCCGCTGAAGCTCAGGGATACAGCTGGCGGCTGTAGGAACATCTGGGAGCAGAACAGAAATGCCTGTGAAGTTGGGGTCAATGGGTGCCTCACCAGTGTGTACCTTCTTTGCATTCCCTGTGCCCAGTAAGAATTTCTTGCTCTGAGCTGCCTAGAAATAGCTGATTTACTCAACTGGTGAACATGGAGCACCTGTGATGCCCCAAGCACAGTGCATGGCACTGGTCACAGAGCCATGGGCTGGTGAGACACTTTCTGCCTTCATGAAGGTTACAGGCAAGTGACTGATGCCTAACAATGTGAAAGCTGTTTAGACCCAGATGTTCTGTAAATAATGTGATGTACTTGTTTGGAGTCTAAGTTGGCTTACTAGCTTCTTACTAGAAGGGAGAAATACCTAGTGAGTGGAATGGATGATGCAGTAATGATAATATTGTATCATAATAATAATAGGGACAGAGGGATGGCTTACCTGTGGCGTGGGCCACATTGCCCTTACAGTAGGACCAGGCTCTGTGTCTGTCCTTGAATCTCTGACCAGTGACTAGTGTCTGTACCCATGCTGCTGTTGAGAATCTTCCACCCAGTGCTGTCAGCTGAGATGGCAGATCTCTCCCATTAATTAGAGGACCACATTCCCAGGCAGGTCAATAAGCATGATATGATCGCATAAAATCAAGTCCATGCACTTTAAAATTATGTTCAAGTTTTATAATCATCATGATCACCTCTATGTGTTTTGTTACCTAAGATGTCTCAGAGACATTTAAGAGGCTACGATATATTAGCTTGGTGGTTTTAATTAGAAAGGTTTAAGATAATTTTAGGTGTTCTTGAGAATCCTGATTTAGTTCAAATAAGTTTGGTGTATTTGATTTAAAACAGTTGTTTACGCCGGGTGCTGTGGCTAATGCCTGTACTACAGCACTTTGGGAGGCTAAGGCAGGCAGACACTTGAGGCCAGGAGCTCAAGACCAGCCCAGCCAATTTGGTGAATCCCCATCTCTACTAAAAATAAAAAAGTTAGCTGGAAGTGGTGGTGCATGCCTGTAATCCCAGTTACTCAGGAGGCTGAGGCAGGAGAGTCGCTTGAATCTGTGGGTTGCAGTGAGCCAAGATCATGCCACTGCACTCCAGCCTGGGCAACAGAGTGAGACTCTGTCCCAAAAAATGAATGAATAAATAAATAAATAAAAAATAAAACAGTTGTTTAGGTGCTTAGAAAGATTTTACTTCTTAGCTTTATAAGTCTGCTTTGATAGGTACATAAAATGTTTTAAAGATCCAGAAAAATTAAATGTGTAAATAGCAGCTTTGGTAGATAATGTTGATTATTCACAATCAGCTTATCGACTGAGCATAAATACAAATCCAGTGAAAGCACTGCTATTTTTTAGACCAAATCAGTAGATTCATAAATAAAATAGAATCTGTATCAGCCGACTCTAAAGTTTTAAGAAAGACAACTTCAGTAATTTTAATAATTTAACGAAAGACCTGAAACTGGCTCTTTTAGCCAAAGTACCTCTTGGGTACTGCAAACATCAGATGGCATTGTGTCTATCGTGATTCTCAACATGCAATGTTCAAGTCCATCCAGGCCTTTAGCTTGGAGTTCTTTAGGGGGAAGGCTCTCTGGCTCCAGCATCTGACGTTTTTCACCCCTATTCCTGTACGCAGTGCAGTCCCACCTCATATGCAGTATGGGACCAACAGGCTGACATCTGCCAAGTGTCAGCACAGGTGTGGAGAGGCAGGCGAAGAACACGCCACCCAGCCATGTTGGGGACACTTAGGGATCAGTTAGCTCACATGTCTGCTTCATGGGTGGGGTTGAGCCACTTACCAGAGGCCCTAGATGGACAGGTGTCTGAGCTGACGCTGGGTTCTGATCTTCCTACCACCCCACGGGGCCTCCCCAAACTTCTTTCATGCCCACCCACCACAGGGAAGCCTGCAGTTTTGAAGTGAGGACTCCTTGTCACTTTAGAAATTAAGAAGAATTTTCAGGGTATCCATGATTTTTCACATTTTGAGGATTTATGTTTCATGCAATCCCAGCTCCCTATTATAATATGGCTTGTTTATAACACATAGGGGAACCTATACTTCATCACTTCAGCAAAAGCCTAGTAGTCAATCCCAGTTACCATGCGTTTTTCTGGTAGGATACAATTTACCTTTTGATTGGAGTTCGAATAAATGCAACCTTTACTGATGGCAGGCAGTGTAATGTACCTCAAAGCAGACCTACCTTAGCTCAAATTCCCACCCTACCATTTACTAGTAGTATGGCCTTGGGCAATTTTAATAACTTTTCAAAGCCTTAGTTTCCTCATTGATAAAACAGTGACATTAAGAGCACATACCTTATTAAGGACTAAGTGAAGTTAATGCACGTAAATTACCCAAGACATAGTAAGTACTGAATGAATGTCAGATAACAACATTCAAAATCAAAAAAGGAGCTTTTTCTTCTGTTGCTTCTTTGGGCACGTAAAAACCATTTGAAGAAAGAATTGAATAAATGCATGTGTGAATGAATAAACATATGAATGAGGCTTTCACTCAGAGAAGGGCAAAGTATGTCTGCTAGTGTTATTTATGTAACAGACAGGTGTGCTTCTGTGTCCCACTGGTACATATCCTTTAACGGTAGAAACCCTGTCCTGTTTATCTTTCTGTATCCTCAAAGTGCTTAACCATATGCCTGGTAAATAATGGGTGTTTGTCAGATAGATGGATGAACAGATTAAAGGGTAGATGGAAGGAAGAAAGGATGGGCAGAAGGATGGATAGAAGGAAGGGTGGCTGGAAGAAAGGATGGATAGATGGTAGCTGGATGGAAGGATGGATGGATGGAGGGATGGATAGATGATGGCTAAATGGATAGAAGGATAGATAGATGATGGCTGGATGAAGGGAAGGATGGATAGATGATGGATGAGCCTGTTGAGGAACACATTTGGCGTTTCTACAGCTATCTTTCTAGGCGTTCCTTTAAGCAGCCAGCAGAGGGCGCACATGCTGTCAAAAAGAGCAAGAGTCAGCCTTGGAGGGGGAGATGGGCCTTTCAGCACAACAGCTCTTGCCTGTGTGGCCCCACACTGGACCCCATCCAGGTGCAAACACCAACAGTCCTACAGGACTTCTTCGTCATAACCCAACCTTTTTTGGAAAAAAAAATAGTTAGCATCACAGGCACATATAGCCTTGATGAAAGCTCTGAACCAATGAAGTAAAGCATCACAAGTCCACTGAAGTTGGGATAAAGGCTACTGGGTGGGGGACTGCTTCCTGGTTTGCTCTTGCGCACATCCATACTTCTGTTTATCAATGATAAAGTAGAATTTTACAGCTTAAGGAGCTGGCATCTTAGAAGGGCTCTGAGGTCAGCTTTATAGAAAACGTAAAAAAAAAAAAGTTCTCCAATTCAAGTTGGAAAAATTATCAGAGAAAACCAACAACTTCTAATTTTCAAGAACAAACCAATCCTACACTCAGTGGTGATTTTTCATTAGTGTTATCTGCTTACTTCTACAAATACTTGTCATTACAGGACATTTTAGAAGGATACAAAATAGACAAGTAATATAATGAAACTTTGGCATTATCATTAGGCTTCAAAAATCATCAAGGTTTTGTCATTCTCATTTGATCTATCCCTCTGCTTTTGGTGGGGGCTGGAGTCATTTGTACTTGCTTATTCTTCACACTTGAATGACAGTTTAGTTAAAACAAATACCACATTTTGGAACATATTTCTTTAAGTCTTACAAAAAAAAAAAAATCAAGAAGTCAGACTCCTTGAGGAAATGTCCTCTGTCTTGACTCTCTGTGGATTTCCATGATCTCTGGAAAATTCCACTGCAAAGATAAGCCTCAGGAATGAACACAGGGCAGAAAGGCACCGGAGTGCGTGATTCCCACGCTGGCCTGCTCAGGACATCCCTCGGTGCACTTTGGCATAGGTACTTTGGGGTTAACCAAAGGCAGGGGTCACAAGGCGGAAAAATACTTCATTAAAACAGGAGTAAAAGCGATAACTTTGCTGCCTGTTATTTTAAAATTAAGCCTTAATGTTGAAAAGGCAGGAAGTAGAAAAACTCCAGGCACTGAGGGGGATGTTCATACGCCTACCTCACTTTTAGCAGTTTCTGACTTGATTTTCCCCTTCCTGTTAGTGTAAAAATTCCATTAAAGTAATTGGAGTCAGGCAAGTGTTGGGCTCCCAATCAGGCCCTGGATCAGTGAGAAAAATATTACAGCTGGGAAGCTGCAAGTAAAAAACCACTTTTTACCTATTCTGGTAAAAGGTGGAATCGCAGCTCGGTGACTCCATTTCTTTTCACGAGAAGGCTGTGCCTTCTCCTGGTCAACTGAAGGGTGGACTGAGGAGGTTGGAGAGCAGCAGGGCTCTGGTGTGGCCCAGGCTGTCTGGGTGAAGCCTGCTCAAGGTGCACACGCCGTGTCTTGAGGGGAGCGGAGGGGGAGGTGGCTTGTCCAGGCCGGGGCTCTTCTCTTTAAGGTGAGCAGCCACCTCTGAGAGGCCGGTGCAGGGGAAGGAAGGGGAGGGACAGTGAGCATCTAGAAAGCCACCAGGAGTGCACCTGAGGGCTAGGCGAAGCTGCTGGGACCTCAGGGAGGTAAGATGGTCAAACGAGCATCTGCCTAAGCCCCCAAACACCTGTGCCACTGTGTGTTAATCTCAGTGTGCACTGGCTCATGGCACTGTAAGACAGAGCCCACCTGTCACCTGTGGTAGGTGTGACTGCACTTCAGGAGCTTGTGTCCAGGGGAGGGTCTGGGTGGATCGTGATGGGGGAAGCAACAGGGACAGTGCTCCAGCAGAGATGTAATTTCTGCTTCTTTCTGTCCCTTCTAAGGGTCTGCAAATGCTTAGTGCTCCTAGGGTGGATGACAAGGTTAGCTAGAGTTACATTTACAATCAAAGTCTGGCTCAAAATCATGCACTTCTGAAGATACACAGCCCTAGACTAATATAAATAAAACATTATATATCGTTAAAAGAGATCCAATATATAAAGGTTTTCCTTGAAGAAAAACAAAACAAGACATCTCCAAACAATTCTAATATCTGGGGGTCACAGTGAGAGCTGCTGCTGGGGCTTGCAGAGCCTCCCTGCTGGCACCACAAATGAGGGCCACCCCGGCGCCCTCTGCAGCCTCCAGTAGGCTGTGGTACGGATATCATCATTCCCACGTCTCCCTCCATGCATGCGCTGGATGAGAAACAGCAGAGCTGCTTCCATCTCCTTCTGATGGCAGCCTGGGCTGGGTGCTAGGAAAGCAAAGTTACAGAGGTGCAGGGAGGTGCCACCCAGGACGGCGGCAGGCATCCATACAGCACCATCCAACGGCAAGTGCACAAGTGCAAATGCAGGTGGAGGCAACGGGCAGATGTGCCTGCCAGAGTGAGGGGCGAGGGAGGAGGACATCAGGGGAGTTTCATGTGTGGCCTGGAGGCAGGGATGAGGACCAGGATTTGTTCCTTGTCTTTTGTGGAGACTGCAGTGTGCTTCAGAAGCAAATGGGGCTTGGCAGGGCAGAGCCCAGGGGTTGGAAGGAAGCCCTGCCTGCCCAGAAATGGTGGCAGGACCCCTCCCCACGTGGCAGCGGGGACAGAGGCCGGCCTGGGAAGGGGATCACCTGGACGTTGGAGTCCTGGACCAGGCAGAGCTGCTCCTGGATCTTGTGGAGCTCTTCCTGCTGCCACCGGATATTGGCCTGCAGGATCCGCGTCCGCTGCTCCAGCTGGTCTTTGATGGTCTGGAACATGCTGAACTGTGCCGAAAACTTCAAGGTGGAGTTGAAAAACATAACCAGATGAAAGAGTTATTTCAGCCTTGCAGGCAGATCTTGCCACTGCTCAGTCTGGACACTTCATTTCCCGTCCCTTAGCTGTCCTTCCCAGCGTCCCTAAGGAGCCCACGGTTGGGTCCTGGGCAGTGAGCAGGGGCTGCAGATGAGGCCTGGGCATCCTGGGGCCCTTGTGCCTGTCTTTCTCAGGTACCACCTGACAGCAGGCTCACCTGAATCTGCAGATCTGACTTACCACCCTGCAGTCTGGGAGGGCCACCGAATCGGGACAGGATTTTGTAAGCAATGTTTACAAACTGATATTCCAAATGTGGATAGAGGAACAAATGGTTTAGAGCAAAAGCAGGGCATCAGAGAGTCCTGTGTCCCCCCCCCCACCTCATTTAGTACATAGCAGTTTGTATGTGAACTTGCCCTGCCCCATTTAGTGCATAGCAGTTTGTATGTGAACTTCACAGGCATTTTTGGGGCCTGTCATTACCCTAAATCTGATCCTGGCTCTCTCCAAACCAACCTGGGACCATCAAGGCCTTGTTCCCCTCACCCTGCCCTCTCCAGGCTTACTTGCTACTAATCGCGTTTCAGAAATCTGTGCAAAAAACAAAACAATCACCCAGTCTTTGCCCCGAGGGTCTCCCTCTCCAGTGTGACTCTCCGGGTAAAGACAGGGTGATTATTTTGGGTCTCCCCTTCCTTTGGACTTTTATTCCTTTCTAGGGAGGGAAGCTGGCATTAGGAAACCTGCAGGTGGTCTCTGCCTCCTGTCCCCCATCTCTCTCAACAAAGTCTCCTCTGCTTGCAGGAAATGCTGTGTGGGAGGGGTGGGAGGAGGGGCCTGAAGCCCCTGCTCTGGGCTCTTTGGGGCTATGGCTCCCATTTCTTGAGGCAAATGAGTTTGCTAGATTCATTTTTTCTCTTTCTCCCTTTTTACCATGACTTAACCTCCACTCCCTCAGTCTCAGCCCCACAATCTCCCTGGTCTGTTTCCTGCCCGCTGTCTTTTCAAATGCCCCCAGAGCTTCTCCCTTTTCCTCTGCCCTTTGACCTGATGGCCATACATGGAGCAGCAAGGAGACCAGGCAAGTTGAGAAACAGGATGAAATAACTGAAAGCACAGCATTGAAGCAACAAAATAATAAAAAGAACCAGTTAGAATAAGAACAACAGGTGCTGACATTTGCAGAGCCCCTCGGGTGCCATTTGCTGCCCCAGGCAAATACAGGTATGTGTGTTGTACTTCTTCACCATGAGCCCCCGCCAGCCCAAGAGGCTGCACTCTGCTGGAGGTCACACAGTGAGATGATGGCAGCACCAAAATGTAAATCCCGTCTTAGGAGCTGAGTGAGGCCAAGAGGTTTTGCCTGAAAGACACTCCCACCTAGACCAGAATGGCTTTGACCTCAGATTTCCTTTAAAAGGAAGTTTCTGTTGCTACCCATGCATTTAAAAATACCTGCGTTGGGCTGAGCATGGTGGCTCACACCTGTAATCCCAGCACTTTGGGAGGCCCAGGTAGGTGGACCACCTGAAATCAGGAGTTCAAGACCAGCCTGGCCAACATGGCGAAAACCCATCACTACTAAAAATACAAAAATTAGCCGGGCCTGGTGGTGGGCACCTATAATCCTAGCCACTCAGGAGGCTGAGGCAGGGAGAATTGCTTGTACCCGGAAGGTGGAGGTGGTAGTGAGCTGAGATTGCGCCACCGCACTCCAGCCCGGGTGACAGAGTCAGACTCCATCTCAAAAATAAATATTTTATTATAAAAATAATAACATGAAAATACCTGAGCTATCCCAGACTCACAAAAATCCCAGTCAGATTGTGACTAATCAATCCACTCTGCTAGGATTTTGAAAGAGGATTCAATGGAGAAAGCAAACGAGCTATAGCAAATATTTAATGAAACACAAAAGCTTCTCTGGCAGGTCCTACAAAGTCAGGAAACTCAGGGTTGCCCCTTCCACCTGCAGTGGAGGCGGCTTGTGGTGCCGAGTAGGCTTGGAAAGGGAGCGTCAAGGGGCTGGATTAGGAAGTGGTAGCTGCCTCTCACGTGACTCTGATTTTTTCAAGGCCTTCCAGACACTCTATCATTTGGCCCTCCTTACCTTCTTGATGGTGATGTTTTTAATAAAGAGATCTACTCTAAAGACATTTTAGAACCACAGTATGAAGAAAGAGCTTTTTGGCAAAGCACCAGTTACCCAGATTTTGGATTTCATTTTTCTCTCCTATCCCTGAAGGGTAAGGGGAGCAAGAGGAAAATCCTAGAATCTTGTTTCACATGAAGTGGGTATGGGAAGAACTGTGTGACTTGGAAAGTCAGTATTATGCAGGGATGTCTTAAAGAATATCGTTACTGGCCTGGCGCAGTTGCTCACACATGTAGTCCCAGCACTTTGGGAGGCCAAGGTTTGCAGATCATCTGAGGTCAGGAGTTCAAGACCAGCCCTGACCAACATGGCGAAACCTTGTCTCTACCAAAAATACAAAATTAGCCAGGCATAGTGGTGCATTCCTGTAATCCCAGCTACTGAGGCAGAAGAATCGCGGAGGTTGCAGTGAGCCGAGATAGTGCCATTGCACTCCAGCCTGGGCAACAAGAGTGAAACTCGGTCTCAAAAAACAAATATAGTTATTATTAAGTATAGTACCTCTGTCAGACTAAGAAGTTCAATAAATGAAAAACTAGAATTCCAAAAGGGACTTAATCACACCATTGTGTCTTATGAACGTAGACATTCTTTACAATGCAAGACCTAGAAGTTAAAGAAATTTTCATTTTATGCCCCTTTGGATTAAAAAGTTACTAATTTCATACCAAATGTGCCTTGGAAATTTAAAGAGAAAAACATTATTCAGGTTTTTTTTTGGCCTAATGAGGGTGAATATAGGCAGTTTTAATGAGTAGATTCCAGAAGGGTAGCTTTACACCACTCCTCAAGCCTGACTCTGGCAAGCAGCATGCGTTAGCTTGTGTCTTACTCCAGGAATTCATGAGAGACCCCCACTAAGAGGGCATATGTTCCAAAATAGTTTTCATCAGTGGTGACAGCTGTGTGCCAAGACAGAGAAGGGCCACCCTGAAAACGGTGCGCCTGGTGGCACCTGCTGCTGAACTGCCCTCTGAGACCCAGCTCTAGCTGTGGCCAGGGTCTGGGCAGAGCTAAATCTCCTATGAGGGAATTGAAGTCAGAGCTCAGGCTTGGGCATAACTCCCTGCCGAAGCACACGCCTGGGCCCCTGTTCCCTGCTGTCCCCCTGCTGCACCATCTGGCAACCTCCTACCCACCTTTCCAGGGCCAACTCAAGTGTCGCCTCCTCCAGGAAGCCACGTCAGACTTCCCTGGGCAGAATACTTCCTTAATGGTTCTATAAAAATGCATGCCCTGCCACGGCGGTGTCTCTGTTTATATGCCTGTCTCTCCCTTTAGCTCAGAGTACTAAAAGCAAGGGCTGAGTTACAGCTTTACATCCCTAACACCTCGCTCACTGACTGACCCAAATAGTAACTCACCGAATGTTGTTGAAACAAGGAAGGAATTACTCAGCAAAGCCGTAATCCCTTTCTTTTCTTTCTTTCTTTTTTTTTTTTTAAAAAAACAAATGTGATATTTATAGTGCTGGACTTATGGCTTTTAGATCCTTTCAGGCTATGACATGCAGCCCAATTCAGACCTTTTCTAAAATACATTGGCCAATTTGGAGTCATAAAGAACAAGAGGAATATGGACAAGTGGCAAAGAGGTGAACAGAGACAGTTAAAAGAATTAAAAAACAGACACTGAACTTTGGCAGCAACTTGGATGGAGCTGGAGGTCATTATTCTAAGTGAAGCAACTCAGAAATAGAAAACCAAATGCCATGTGTTTTCCATTACAAGTGGGAGCTAAACTATGAGGACACAAAGGCGTAAGAATAAAATAATGGGCCAGGCGTGGTGGCTCACGCCTGTAATCCCAGTCCTTTGGGAGGCCGAGGTGGGCGGATCATGAGGTCAGGAGATTAAGACCATCCTGGACAACATGGTGAAACCTCGTCTCTACTAAAAATACAAAAATTAGCTGGGCCTGGTGGCACGTGCCTGTAGTCCCAGCTATTCGGGAGGCTGAGGCAGGATAATTGCTTGAACTTGCAAGGCGGAGGTTGCAGTGAGCCAAGATTGCACCACCTCACTTCAGCCTGGCGACAGAGCAAGAAAATGTCTCAAAAAAAAAAAAAAAAAGAAGAATGTACTTTGGGACTGGTAGGGGGAAGACTGGGAGGCGTGTGAGACACAGAGTACTACATATTGGGTACAGTTTACACCGCTTGAGTAACAGGTACACAAAATCTCAGCCATCACCCCTAAAGAACTTATGCATGTAACCAAACACCAGCTGTTTCCCCCAATACTATTGAAATTAAAAAGAAAAAAAGAAAAGCCCAGACACTGGAGAAAGAACTTGGAGACTGTATCTGGAGATGAGAGGGTGGGTGTGGGGGAACCTCATGGCTCAACATATACCACGTATACATTGGGAGGGACATTCCCCCATGTCGGGGCCTTGGTCAGGACCTAAGTGTGCAAGACACATCAGCACAGCACACGGCGTGCTTCTGGCTTGAGAGGGGCTACCCTCCTTTTCCGGGTCCCAGACTCACCTGTGCCATGGGAGCAGGTGGGCTCTGCAGAATGGTCTGAGGCAGGAGCTGCTGTGCGAGGTCGCAGGACGATGGGGAAGGCAGGGGAGCCTGTGGGAGAGAAAGGGGCTTTGCTACCACTGCTTCTGCCGTTCCAGGGGGCAGGGATGCGGTCTCTTGGTCCAGTGGGTTCTCTGCCTTCCACAATGGGGTGGACAGCTGAAAGTCAAGACTTCTAGAAAGTATAGGTATCTGATTCCTGGCTGCACTGCTTCCCACGCAGGGCACGTGGGCAGAGCCCCCACACGGCTGGTGCGGGCTTCCGCCCCACCAGTGTGCTCTGCCAAGCCCTGCTACCTGCCCAAGCCTGGCAGCTCAGCTCCGCTTCCCTTCCCTTGCCTACTGTCCTGGACTCTGCCTTGGGTGGGTTTGGTTGCTCTTCTCCCATATGGATTAATTCTTAGTGGTGTCATCAAGAAGGACAATGTGGGTGGACTGCTACCATGAGCTGACTTGTGCGCCTGTATCTTTTCTGCTTAGTGCTAGTGCAGATGGACAGACACGCCATGCGGCAGTGAGGACTGGGGCAATTTCAGCAGCCTCTGCCCAGAACCTTTTGAGACTCCTGGAAAGTGAGCTGAGTCACATCTGTGTTCCCTGATCACTCGGGTGGGTGGGGAGAAAATGTATAGGAACAAAAAATGAAATACTCTGCTTCAAGGGCTAGTGGTTTTTTTTTTTTAAGAACAGTGAAAGGACTCGTCTGAAGTCATTCGACACTGTGGCCCCTAGTTGCTAGGGCCTATACAAAAAAGCAGCTCAAATGGAAGTGTCACCCAGGACAGCACTGGGAGGAAATGACACCCAGAGAACTTGTTTCAGTGAGAAGTCCCAGGCACAGGGCTGAACCAGAAGCTATTCTGGGCTCTGTTTCCCTGCACAGCTGGGAGGAGACGGAAGCACTCTGGGGCTCTGTCGTTGGCAGAATGAGTCACACTGGACAAACGAGAGTCTGGAAGAATGGCGGGCGCAGCTTGCAAGCGCATCTGGAGGGGTCTGGAGAGAAAGTAAGTGGTCTTTATTCATGTTCTACTTGCAAATGAAACGTGTTGCCCAAGCTTCTCAAGCAGGGTGTGCATAGCCTTTATGAAGACAGCAAGCAGGAAGGTGGCACGTTCACTCCATCTCCAAAGTGACAGTGAAGTGTCGGTGGGAGGGTGTGGAGGTGGCCCCTAAAATTTCTAAGCAGTTCTCCCATCTACAAGGGGAGGTCTATATCCCTCTCGATAGGTGAGCTCAGGACTGCTCTGACCAAGAGGTATGGCAGTGGTGACACTATGTGACTTCCATGCCTAGGTCACAGAAGGCTGCACAGCTCCTGCCCAGCTCTCCGGATGTCTCCTCTTGGAATCTGGAATCCCACCGCTAGGCCAGGAGAAGCCTAAGGCTTGAGAGGCCTGTGCAAGTCAGTGACGGATGGCCTCCGCTGATCCCAGCCCTGGTGCCGGGCACTCAAGGGCAGACACGATCTGGGGTGTGAGTTCTCTAGCCTAGGTCCATGAGACCCCTGACACCAAGGGGCAGAGAAGTGCCATCCCCATGATGCCCTTTCTGAATTCCTGACCCAGACTCCATGAACTTGATATACGTGGTTGCCTTAGGCCACTGAGGTAGGTATAGTTTGCTACCTGGCAATAGATGACCAGAGCGGTCCGTGCCAGTGACTTTATACACAGCCAGTGTGCTCCCTCAGGGCCACGCATCCGATGTTCTGGAAGGATCCGGCATACATTGGGGACACTATCTGGTATGTGCAGAGGTACATTTTTGTTGACACTGAGCTGCTCAAACATTTTGACCCGCATGAAAGGGGATTCAAAAAAGAAGAATCCTAATTGTGCAGCCCCAGAGGCTCTGGGGGTATGACGGTGTGACCCCAGGTCTGCAGTTTTGCCTTTTATCCTTAAAATTCACTTGGATTTTGTATTCTACGGATATGCATCCATTTTAATTTTGTCATGCAAATGTTTAAAATTAGTTGCCAATTAAATTACTTAACTTCCCACCCCCATCTGCTACCCTACACTCTCAATCCCTAAGTGAAACGGATTCTCTGGGGAGAGGCAGCACACTGCCCGTGGCTCTGCAGCCCCCGCCACATTGCAGCGTACTCCTGTGGAGGAGTTTGGGGTCACACACTTACCGGCATGGTGGCTGCCTGGCTGAGCCCAGGGACAGGTAACTCTTGGGGCAGGGTGGCCGGTCTTGGCAACGCCGGGGTGCTGGCCTCTGCCATCAGCTTGGTTGGAGTGGCTGTAACAAAGCAACGAATGAACTTCCTGACTTACATGTACTTAGCATGTACTCATCCGACGACCATGACCGTGGCATGCACAACACAAGAGCTTAGCTAGGACCTCTGATAAGGGAAGTCGCCATGCGTGGCTGAGCTGACCACAGAAGCCCAGCCTGGGAGCAGGCAGGAGACACCACAAAAACTCCCTAAACTTCACTTCTGCTGCTTGGTCCAATGAGCTGCCTGATCAGACGCCTCCCCAGAATTACTAAAAGCAGCCAAGGGATCAGATCTGTGTGCCACCCACCCAATGTCTTTGTTTGGCTCTGAACAGATACCAGGGTGTGGAGAGGTGATCAGAAGAGATGAAGTCTGGGAAAGAGAGGAGGAGTATAAATCGCATAGTAACCTCTGTCGGAGGCACAGACTGCCCTGATTCCACTCGGGCCTGGGACCCTCTTTGGGGCTGTCCCTCTGGTCTGATGGGGGTCCCTCATCCCACTCCCCATCCATGGAGTCGCACTCACAGGTGGGTTCTGACATGGCTGTATGCGAGGATTTGTGGGAACTTCTTGAGGACGCCGATGGCGAATGACTGGTGTTAAGGCCCGAGGCGCTCACATCAAGGGCGCTAAAGTGCTGCCGAGGTTCCAGGCTGGAGCCCTTGTCCTGAAACACACACGTCCAACAGTCCTCATGTCAGCATCAGGAGGAAAGAATCAGTGGGTGTGACTTTAGTTCTAGATATGTCGACAACCTCAGAAGCTGCTGAGACAAATACCACAGCTGTTTGGGAACGATTCCAAAGACACTCGGGTAGAGTATATACACAGGTGTAACCTAGAGGCCCAGAGAGGCTTGCAGCCGAGAAGCAGTGTTTACTGCTCGTTCTTGCCTTTTGTTTTTATTGTTTACCTTTTGTAATTGACTTTGCATTTTATTTTTTCCTCAACAGTTGTCACCTCACCACCCAGCATCTTGGCTTTCCAAGAAGAGGGAAAGAGGTTCTAGAAATAAGGTTGCCACTGGCAGTGGATTCTAAAGTCATCAGTGGGACAGGTGCCTTTGGACCTTCCTAGGCCCTTCCCACGCTGCCTCGTGTTACTCATTCTCTGCAGCCTCAGTGTCCACTGGAGTGGAGGACCGGTGAGGGCCAGGGGTCGCCTGTCTTTCGACCTCTTGTTCCTGACTGACCCTGGTTCCCAGGATGTCTCTGTCTCAAATACAGTGTGACAAGGAAGCAGCTGTGACAGTTGACCCCGAGGGACCGTTTTTCCATCCTCTGTGGCTTAGCTGTTACAGGCACATGAAAACAGGTTGGGGCCGGGCGCGGTGGCTCATGCCTGTAATCCCAGCTCTTTGGGAGGCCAAGGCAGACAGATCATTTGAGGTCAGAAGTTCAAGACTAGCCTGGCCAACATGGTGAGACCCTGTCTCTACTAAAAATACAAAACTTAGCTGGATGTGATGGTGCATGCCTGTAGTCCTGGCTACCTGGGAGGCTGAGGTAGGAGAATGGTTTGAACCCAGGAGGTGGAGGTTGCAGTGAACTGAGATCAGGCCACTGCACTCCAGCCTGGGCAACATAGTGAGACTCCGTCTAAAATAATAATAATAAAAAACAAAACAGGTTGGGATAATTTTTAAGTTAAAGAAGACAACCAAACAGTGATTACCCTCCTAAGCTGCGTTCCTACCTAGTCTTAGAAGAATGGAAGCTGCCAGCATCTCTGGGCTACGTCAATGGGCTGGTCTGTGTACTATGGCCTGGGGTATGAAATCTCGTGCATGTGTCTGCGTGGCTGTTTTGTCTTTTGTGTCATGACTGCAGTGGGGGTGGACACCGTGTATAGAAGGGCTGAAGTGATTGACATGTGACCTACAGGCCTTTGTGTAAAACAGAAAAACCAAATGTGGTTGGATGTGCTAAGGTAAATGGCAATTAGGGACCTCGCTGCTTTAGGGAGCCTGGTCTCCCTTTGACCAGGCTCCTTTGAGTGGGGTCCCTGGACCACAGCTGTTTGTGAATTGTGTGTTCCTAGTCAGCAGAGAAGTTAGTCCAGGAGGTGAGAATAAGCATGGAGGAACTTCGGTGCCCATTTGACATCTCTGCACATCAATCCATGCACGGGAATCTGCGTTTTACAAATGCATTGGATAGTGACAGACAGCGAAGCTTAAAAAACCAAACTGGTTCAACACTGCAGATAGTTTGGGAGCTTTTACTTTAAAGGGATTTCTTAACCCAGTGCCTAAGATTGTGTTTGTGTTTATACATATGCGCATTTTTATGAGAAGACGTTCTTCCACAGGGCTCCAGTACTCCCCAAGGATTGGAAACCTCAGTGATCAATTTCCGACTGGATGATATATACTACGCCGTGCGTGTTCTTCAGCTGTGATGTATGGTGTGTCTAACACCTGCCTATTAGCAGCTGGATTCCTTTCTACAACGTGATATATAATGTATGGTGTGACAGAGCTGGGTAATAAACACTTCCACAGACAATGTCAGCTGCGTACTATCCGTGCGCTGGTGATGAATCACCATAGAACACACCACCACACAGCGCAGCTGCCGGGGGAGCTATGGCAGGGCAGCTCTGCCAGGGCACCCACTGCTCTCTGATCTTGAAAGGTGGTTTCTCCTTCCTCCCAACTTGGCCCTTCAGGAGTGAGGGATGCTTCTGTTGGGCCACAGACAGCTTGAAAGGCTGGACCATTGCTGTGGCACCAGCCTCTGGCCCTGGGCTCTGGATTTGGGATCACTGGCAGCCCTGGGAGTTGAGCTTCACCAATTCTAAGATGTACTCTCCACTCCAGCACTCAGATTTGAACACTTCTGAAATTAAAATGTGTCCTTCCATTGATGAAAAGAACTCTTGTTTCAGAGACTGGTTGGCAGCATTTTCTTCCTAGTCAACCTTTGCTGTATCTGTCTGGCTGGGATGGACATACCTTTAGTGCTGAGGAGTGGAGGGCCTCGGACGACGGGTCTTCCAGAGCCAACCCCTGCCTCCTTTCCACCCGGACATCTGCGTAACTGTGCAGGAAATGAAGAGACCACAGTGGAAGTGGGGTGTTCCAGGACAGGACGACACCACCCGAGCAGACTGCAAGGTGCATCGAGGTTCTCTACGTAACACCCGCCCCCACAACAGTCAACAGAGAGAAGCCTAGTCTGTTACTGTTGGAAGGTATGAGCGTCATTCCCTGCCTTAAATTCCACCCGAGTGACTTATAATATTACATTCAAAATCATTTTATTTCTAGGATGTCTTTATTCCCCTCTCATTTACTATTCTTTTTACTTCCCTGAAATCTCGAATTGTAATTGTCTTTAAAAAACACATTTTTGTCTATGGGATAAGCTTCTGCCTTTAAATAATTAGAAGGCTTTCTTAAAACCTGTTCAGTCTGGACCGTGCATATGGAAGAGTGACAGAAAACTTTTTTAGTAGTTACATTTCTCAGAAAGTTTCCTCTCAAAGAAACCCAGAACTGGCCAAATCCAGACCACAGATGTGCCCACAGGCCCACTTGTCAATAGTGTGGGTAAATCAACTCAGCACAGTGATGCCCAAGTGATCCTATGATGCCTCTGCCCTGGGTGTGGAGACCCTGGGGCAAGAGACCTTGGGAAGCAACGTGGCTCCTGAGCCTCCGGAATGCCTGCCACCTGATTCATTCACTCGGTTCCCTCCCTCCTTTCTCTGAGCGTTTCTTCCGAGGATTTGAGAGGCAGAGGATGGAGAAGAGCTGGGTAGAGGGCACAGCCTGAAGAGTGAGGGGTCAGTGCTGCCCAGCCTTCCCTGGGGGGCAGGCGGCCTTCGGGCAGAGGACCAGGCTGGGTGGCAACAGGGGGCTGCCATGAAGTCAGAGACCACTACTGCTGCATGCCCAGGGCGGGCTGGGAATCGAAGAGCGAATGCCTGAGTGAGGGCGTGAGGTGTGATAAAGTGGCATCAGGGTCACTGGCGGCCGAAAACTAGTGTCTCTCCCTTCTTCTGCATGTTAAGGAAGAATGCTTCACTTGGCGACCTGATGTATGTATGGGTGTATGGGTGTGTGTGTGTGTGTGTGTGTGTGTGTGGTGTAGTGTCTGTCTACATCTGTCTGTTACATGTATAGAGTCATGTGCTTATAGGATGTATTGGTGCTTCCCTAAGATTAGAACACTGTATTTTTTAAATTATGCTTTAAGTTCTGGGGTACATGTGCAGATCGTGCAGGATTGTTACATATGTATACACATGCCATGGTGGTTTGCTGCATCCATCCCCCGTCACCTACATTAGGTATTTCTCCTAATGTTATCCCTCTGCAATCCCCCCACCCCCTGCTATCCCTTCCCTAGCCCCCCCACCCCCCAACAGGCCCCCGTGTGTGATGTTCCCCTCCCTGAGAACACTGTATTTTTATTGTACCTTTTCTGTGTTCAGATACGTTTAGAGGCACAGATACTTACACCTGTGCCATGACTGTCTGCAGTGTTCAGTACAGCAGCATGCTGTTCAGGTGTGCAGCCTAGGAACAATACACTCTATGGTATAGCCAAGATGTATGGTAGGCCACACCATCAAGGTGCGTGTGAGTACACTACAATGCTTGCATGATGACAATATCACCTAATAACACATTTCTCAGAACAGATATCCATTAGAAGCAGCAAGTGACTGTATATAAGAAACACATATGAAATTTAAAGTAGTTTTTTTTTAATTCTATGGAATACTATGCAGCCATAGAAAAGACTGAGTTCAGGCCGGGCGCGGTGGCTCAAGCCTGTAATCCCAGCACTTTGGGAGGCCGAGGCGGGTGGATCACAAGGTCAAGAGATCGAGACCATCCTGGTCAACATGGTGAAAC